TTGGAGATGAATCACTCTACAGCTAGGCTGAAAACAGAACAAAGACGAGGAGAAATTCATCAGGAGATGCGGAGGGGAAGCGTTCACGGTGCGACACTGACAGCATCTGAAAAGGTTTGCTCGCCTGGCTCTGAGGTTATCAAGCTGAGCACTGAAGGAAAAACTGCAAATGCCAATCACTATCCATCTCACAGGAGCCCCAGGAGAGAGCAGGCACCTGCGGCCTCACGGTGGTGAAGATCCAATGGCTGTGACCTCGGGACTAAGGAAGCCACGGAAGAGCACAATGGAAGGGCTGCGGAGACCCAGACGACATCAGGGCGCTGACTTAGCCGTGTCACAGTGACACTGCCAGCCACCAGAGAGGAAAATGATCGTTTTAAAGATTTATTTATTGTATCTGAAAGTAAGAATTACAGAAGGGGGGAGTAGAGAGAGGAGGGGGAGGGGGAGAGGGAGAGAGAGACAGAGAGAGAGGTCTTCCATTTGCTGGATCACTGCCCAAACGGCCAGAACAGCCAGGGCTGGCCAAGCTGAAACCAGGAGCCAGGAGCTTTATCCGGGTCTCCCACGCCGGTACAGGGGCCCAAGGACGTGGGCCATCTTCCAGTGCTTTCCCAGGTGCTTTAGCAGGGATCAGTTTTCCCAGGTCCATTAGGATTGGAGCAGCCAGGACTCAAACCGGTGCTGTATGGAATGCTGGGACTGCAGGCGGCAGCTTCACCTACACCACAGCACCGACCCTCGTAAACGAGTCCTTAAGGACTGCATGTGTGTTGATGAGCGTTAGATTTTTCATGAGAATTCTCACTAACATGAAAGCTGAGAATAACATGAGGCACCAACTTCAACACGGAGACATTATTTAGATAAAGAAGCCAGCGATGTCTCCTGTGGGAGGGTTTTCAGCAAAGAACTGCTGAACACTGAGTGGACAGAGCCAGCAGGGAGTAGAAGTGTTGCCAGAGAAGGGCAGGAAGCAGGGTGTGCTGTGAGCTCCGGAGAGGCTGGCCCAGCAGGCAGGCCTGGGACTCCACAGTAAGGACCCCGGGATGGTGTGACCAGGATAGGGACAATGACCGCACCACTCAGCCGTGCACACTCAGGGACAAGGCGGAAGAAGGAGCTTCCCAGGGCATTTGTTGCCTCCTATCTGGCGGCCGTCTGTGCTGCCTTCATCTCTCCCACGGGCTGAGGGCTCCAGGGAGACAGCACTCACGGCTCAGCTCTGGGCCTCAAAGAGCCCCTGGAAGACAACCTGGACCAGGCAGGTGCTCAGTCAAGATTCCTGCAGAAGCTACAGTGAGCACGCCTGCCACACTCCTTCCATGTCTGCACACAGCCCTCAGTCAGTGGCATCATTTCACCTGGCACCCGCACCCCCCTCCACCATGTGAGCCGGGAGACACTCAGCCCCCGGAGAAGACACAGCAGTGCTGCCGCCCCACACTTGGCCTGAGTAAGTCTAGCACCACCCAACCATCAGTCCTCCACTGTCACTCACCCTGCTGCCCCGGGAGAGGGAGAGAGGGAGCGAAAGACAGACAGACAACATGCCCACCAGCCTCTGCAGCCTCTCCTGCGTCCCACTGGTTGGATGGATCTGGACCCAGCAGAGACCAGGAGATGCCATGAGCACTGTACTGCAACCCACAGCCTCCCTCGGGGAGGCAGGAGGGGGACAGGGCACTGACACCAGACCCTGTCACGAGTGGAGCCTGTGTGGCTTTCCTTGTATCTTTATATCCTCAGCTGGAATCTCTCATCTGTGGGAGACCTGGATGGAGTTCCAGGCTCCTGGCTTGGCCTGGCCCAGCCCCAGTGGTTGTGGTCATTTGGGGAGTGAACCAAGGGAACCAAAGGATGGAAGATCTCTCTGTCTCTCCCTCTCTGCCTCTCTTTCAAATAAATATCAGTTTTTAAAAGAACAAATATATAATACACATAAACCATTTTTAAAGATTTATTTAATTGAAAGTCAGAGTTACATAGAGAGAGAAGGAGAGCAGAGAAAGAGGGAGAGATAGGTCTTCCATCTGCTGGTTCACTCCCCAGTTGGCCGAACAGGTGGAGCTGCACCTATCCAAAGCCAGTAGCCAGGAACTTCTTCCAGGTCTCCCATGTGCATGCAGGGGCCCAAGGACTTGGGTCATCCTCTACGGCTTTCCCAGGCCATAGCAGAGAGCTGGATCAGAAGTGAAGCAGCCAGGACTCAAACCGGCGCTCATATGGGATGCCGGCACTACAGGCGGCAGCTTTACCACTACACCACAGCACCAGCCCCTTAAACCACTTTTTGAAGGATTTACTTTGGGGATTGGCGCTGTGGTGCAGAAGATTAAGTCTTTAACTGCAGTGCCAGCATATCATATGGGCGCCAGTAAAAGTCTCAGCTGCTTCATTTCAATCCAGCTCACTGCTAATGCACCTGGGAAGGCAGCAGAGGATAGCCCAAGTCCTTGAGCCCCTGCACCCATGTGGGAGACACAGAAGAAGCTCCTGGCTTCTGGCTTCGGCCTGGCCCATCTCCAGCCATTGCAGCCATTTGGGAGTGAACCAGAGGATGGAAAATATTTTTTCTCTCTCTCTTGCGCGCTCTCTCTTCGCTCTCTCTCACTCTCCTTCTCTCTTTGTACTTCTGCCTTTCAAATAAACAGATTATTTTTTTAAAAAAGCCTGGGGCCGGCACTGTGGCTCAGTGGGTTAAAGAGCCCTGGCCTGAAGTGCTGGCATCCCACATGGGCACTGGTTCAAGTCCCGGCTGCTCCACTTCCGATCCAGCTCTCTGCTATGGCCTGGGAAAGCAATGGAAGCTGGCTTGGATCCTGCTTGGATCCCTGCACCTCAGTGGGAGTCCCGGAAGAAGCTCCTGGCTCCCGACTTTGGATCATCCCCGGCCATTGCAGCCATCTGGGGAGTGAACCAGCAGATGGAAGACTTCTCTCTCCATCTCTACCTCTCTCTGTAACTCTGTTTTTAAAATAAATAGAATAAAATCTTTTTAAACAAATTTAAAAATAATAATAAAGCTTTACTTTGCTCCCCAGGTCATTAGAGATCTAGAGTCAGGAACTTCCTTCTGCTGACTCGCTCCTCCAATGCCCACATGGGTCAGGCCCAGGCCAGGTTGAAGCTGGGAGCCGGAATGAATCCAGGCAACAATCCAGCCACTTGAGCCATCCCTGCTGCTCCCAGGGCCTGTATCAGCGCAGGAGTCCGGAGTCAGAGCTGAGAATCAAAGCCACGCCCTCTGGTGCAGCAGGTTCTGTGAGGCTAGGTGTCACCCCCCTCCCACACTTTAGATCAGAGAACAAGTGACTGTCAGGTGCCACACCGGCCACCTTCCCTGGGGTGTGCACCGAGCACTGGCCTTGCGCACCCTATCACCCCCAGCAAACCACCTCCCAGAGGTTCAGCCAGGCTGATGGGTGCAGAGATGGAGGCTTGGCGGGAGAGGGCCTGTCACTGGTCCAGCCTCTGTGTGGCACTGCAGACCTGCGCCACTTCACAGCCTGTCCACAGAGGAAGAGGGCCCTGAGGGACCCACAGGACCAAGCAGGCAGTGAAACCCCTAGAAAGGGGCCTGGAGCTGCCCCTATACCCCCGCCCCGCTCATGGGTGCACAGAAGGGAGGACCATCATAGCAGTACTCTGGCCCCCCGTAGTCTCAGAGTCGGGGCCAACCAGCCTTTCCCCAAAATGTCCAAGGAAGCTAGACAGTCTGAGTTTCTGTCTTGGCAGTGAAAACAGAGGCCCACGTGATGAGAGCTGTCACTGAGAACAAAAGCAGACTGGAGAAACCCTCCCCGCGGGGCTGTCCTCCTGCAGGGCTCCGGAAGAGCTGGCTTCCCATTCCTCACTTCCCAGGTGTCAGCCAGGCCCCAGCTTCCTGAGGGAGGGTGTGCCCCTGCTGGTGGTGGGCAGGTCCCTGGCTGGCCCTTCGTGCAGCCCCCTGCCCTGCGAGAGGGGTGGCCTCACTATCCTGTGTATCAGGAGAGTCTTGGGGTTTCCATGGTGGGTGTTCTGGTCCTGGGTCTGACGGCCCCACTTGCCCTCACATGCTGACAAAAAGTACCTGCAGCTTTCTCACAAAAGGTGCCACTAGCCACAGTCTGGGCTCTCAGGAGCCAAGGCCCAAGCACCTGTGTGGGGAAGGGAGGAGGTGAACGGGGCTGGGGGTGCAGAAAGTCATTGTGTGCCCAGCAGGGGGTCCCCTGCACCCACCAGGACCAGCTCACCCCGCCTAGGGTCTGCTCTGCTGTCCTGTCCTCAAACTCCCCATTTCTAGGTCAGGCACGTTCAGGGTGGTATGGCCATAGACCAAACTCCCTATTTCTGAACCGAGCCCAGGTCCACGCTCTGCACACAGCCCCACAGAGTGCGCTGGGCCTGCTCAGGACTCTGCCACCTGTGCTGTGTGGAAACTGGAGGTTTCCTAACGCAGACTGCGCGCAAAGCTTCCAACAGCACCGCCTCCGTGGCTTCCCCGCCACACGGCTGGATCACAGGACTGACCTTCCAGAAGTAAATTACTCACAAAGCAAAAACGAAAAGGTGCTTTTTAAACTTAAAAATCAGGAATAAGGAGCTCTCGGGAGCCAGGGCAGCAACATGAGGGCCTTGGCAAACTGCTGAGCTTCTCTGAGCCTGAGGTTTCCTCACCCGAGAAACGGGCTGGGGCAATCAGGCCACATCCAGGGTCCCCTGGGCTCACACCTGCAGGGCCTGACCCAGCCTCAGGCGCCTTCCTGCGGTCTGAGGGAGGGCTGAGTGCAAACAGCTGCCCCTTGCTCTCTTCAGAAGTGCAGAACCCCACGGCTGAGGACAGGTTAGCCCAACCCTGGATTTTACAGACGCAGAAACAGGCCAGGGAAGTGAGCAGCTGGGAGCCGGAGCCCATCTTTGTGCCATTCCGCTGAACTGCCCAGCTGTCTGCAGGACACTGCAGCTGGCCTGGAGGCCACCGACCAGCCCAGGCCCAGAGAGGGCGGTTACCTTTGAGGCCTGGGACGAGGATCTGCACCGAGCAGGCATCATCCGCAGCCTGCTGGGCACATCCAGGAGGCAGCAGCGCCAGCACAGCCAGGCTGATGAGAGTGCCGGAAAGAGCCAAGTCCAGCTTCATCCTGAGTGCAGGCAGGACACTGCCTCCTATGGAAGGAAAGAGTAAACAGTGGCAGCAAACCCAGGCCAGGCAGGCCACAGCCCCTCACCGTGGGCCCAGGGCAGCTGGGCTGTGTGGAGCCTCCCCATTCTGCTCTTGTCCATGGGCGGGCCCTGGCGCTCTCCCCCACCCCCCGCACATACACACACACCGCTACCCAGCAAGCCGACTGGGAAGCTCCCCTGAGGGGTTTCCTGGCCCAGGACATTCACAGCCCTCGTTCCAGGAGCCTCCAGCATGCTGGCCCATGGCATCCAGGCTGTGCCGGGAGCAGAGGGGCCCCCCAGGACCTCCTTCTGGTCCTCAGGACAGACAACTCTGGCACAAGACTGCAGGGCACCTTGCATGGGCGGCTGTGGGATCCAGGAGCTGGAAATGTCTGGGCGGAGCTGTCGCAGGCACGCTGGTCTGGTGACTCCCTTCACACACGAGCGATCCAGCACCCACGTCCCCGTGGGAACGCAGCGGGGGCGGGGCAGCTCCAGGATGACTAGCGAGGAGCCCTGGGCAAGCCAGTGGCCTGAGGCTTTGCACCTGTCCCATAGTGGGGTCAGGCTGGCTGCTCCTGATTCTCCATGGGGAGAGGCACTAAGACCAGCAAAGCCAAGTGGCCCCTGGAAACCACCAGACCAGAAAGGGGGCTCCCTGGGGAGCACCAAGGCCCCTGGAAGGCAGGGCACCCACTCATCCAGAGAGGCCGAGCCGCAGATGGCCGCCCTGGCGTCCGCTCCGCACAGTCCTCTTCTAGCAACATTCGCAGACAACGCCGACCTCTGCCAGGCACGGCTCCAGTGCTGGAGGAGAGTAGAAGCGTTCAGTCTTAGCCGCGGCAGGCCGAGCCGCCTTGCACAGAGAAGAGCAGGGTGGGAAGGTGGGCTCTGAGCTGGGCTGCCGCCGTCCGACAGGCCCCAGGGAAGGCTCACCCCACGAGGCAGGTGGTGGCGTGTCCCATGCCGGTGGGGCAGGCGAGGAGGGCAGGAGAGGGAAGAGCCGGCACCCATTATCACGCCGAGGCCTCTGGGGGTCTCACAAGAGGCAGGGGGCCTGGGTCAGGCAGTAGCTTTGGGAAAGGATCATTCTAAGGGGAGTGAGACTGGAAGCAAGGAGAGCGGACATCTCAGTGGGCAGGGATGGCGATGCGCAGGTGGTGGAGGCTATGAAAAAGGGGGGGATGTGCAGCACGTGCGGAAGCAGAGCCCACAGTTATCTGAGACCGGGCAGGAGGAGGCAAAGATCAGCCCCTGCCCTGAGCCACAGAGTGAATGGAGCAGCCAGCAGCGGGGAGAGTGTGCAGGGAGGCGCTGGTGTTGTGGCGCAGCAGGTCCATATGGGGCCGGTTCCAAGCCAGCTCCCTGCTATGGCCTGGGAAAGCAGAAGATGCCCACGTGGGAGACCTGGATGGAGCTCCTGCCTCCCAGGCTTTAACCAGGCCCAGCCCCTGCTGTTGCTGCCATCTCTCTCCCCGTCTCCATCACTCTGCCTTGTAGTACATAAATCAATCCTGTTTGAAAATGCCGGATTCTGGGCAGGGCGTAAAGATGTTTGTTTGGCTCATGGTTCTGGCAGCTGGAGATTTCAAACAACGCGGTGCTAGGGAGGCCCTGGAGCATCAGGACAGGGTGGAGAGGCAGACCAGGGGCATGCCAGGCTCAGGAGGCGTGCAAATGAGGGAAAAAGGCTGACAGCCAACTCGCTGTGCAGCAACAGGTCCCCAGGGGCCAGGCGCCCTGAGAACCTTGATCCTTCCCTGGGCAGTGCCCGAGAATGAACCTCCTTCCACCAGGACCCTCATAAAGATCACCACCTCCCAACTCCATGGCTCAGGGAGCCCAATATCCAGTGTATGCAGCAGACCCCAGCAGAGCCCACTGCACAGCCCACGAGACCCGCTGGTGGTTTGCTGCCCATACAAAAGCAGGAGGGGGCCAGGACTGATGCCCCTGCAGGCCAGGGTCCCGCCCCTGGGTTAGCCCCACCCACCATGAGAACCTGAGATCCCTTCTGCTCTTACTTCCATATTCCTCCCAGAAATACACGGGACCCTCGGGACAGAGACCGAGGGTGTACACGTGCAGTCACCCACGCTGGAAAAGCCAGCTCTTGGGATCTGAGCAACCCCATCCCAGCAGCATGGATGTGTCTAAAACCCTCCCAGAGTCCCCACTGCAACCACAGAAGAAAAGAATATGGAGACTGCTTTTTGATGTTACTGCCATGAACACTGAGTGCCCGGTGTTCACCTAAAGCTAAGCAGAGGGTTAATGAAGGGACGGGGGGCAGGACGTGCTGGTGGAGGTGACCCAGCCAGCGGCCAGGGACACAGCACTCTGCCTTTGCAGACCCCGGGGATGGGAGAGAAAGCACCTCTCACCCTCGCGTCTGAAAACTGCCCAGTGGACGGAAGACGTCTCAAACTCAACAGATGATGGGTTCTGTCCCCCGTGTCCTCCAGGCCCAGCCCAGGCACCACCCGCGGGTGGGCGACTATCCCATACTTTGTCCGGAGCTCCCCAGGTCCAGGCACCACCCAGGGGTGGGCGACTATCCCGTGCTTTGTCCAGAGCTCCCCAGCAATGGGGCTAAGCAGGCGCCAAACTGAGTGAGTGAAGCAGGGAGCAAGCGAATGAGCGAGGGAGCAGAGAGATTGCAACAGCCACACAAACAGAACCCAGCAGACGCGGGGCCAGCTCCTGGCTTCCCAGGGCCCCGGGTCTTTCCTGTGGTCCACACGTCCCCAGGCTGCCGCTCACACACAGGACGCTGATGGAGAAAGAATTTCCTTGCATAAACGGTCCTCAGTAAGAACAACATCCTTATCTCTGGCTGGGCCAGGGCGCCGAGGCCCCTCGCCCCTCACCCCTCGGGAGAGCAGCCTGCTTCCTATGCAGGGAAAAAGGATGGCAGGTGTGGAGTTCTCAGAAGCAGCACCCGGTGAGAATGAAACCGACAGCAAGGAGAAACCTAACACCCTGGGTGCACGCACAGTGTTCATGCCTATCTACAGAGATCTCACGGCATCAACAGCGGAGCCTGGGGGCCTCAGGGCAACCCCAGCCTCAACGTCCGCTTCCCGCAGCACCAGCTCGCAAGACCCCCACCCAGCACACAGGCCTCTGTTGGCTTCTCACAGACTATGGAGGAACAAGAGGCCGGCTCCCTACTGGCTCCCTAGCTTGAAGCCAACCATCACCTGTTCTCTCCCTCAGCGCATGTGAGCAGGCTTTCAAAGTTGTCCACAAAATTGAATCTCAGTGAGCATTTGGGGCACTGCTCTGCTGCCACCAGGCACGGTGTTTCCCACAGAGCCAAAGCCCCGCAGGGCACAGCCGTGGCTACGGGACTATGGTATAAACTAAGAGCTGCAACCTGGCCTCTGCTTTAGCAACACAGCCAGGTCCTGACAGCCCGGGCCAGGGCCCAATCTGGGAGACAAAATGACCCCCATCGGCATTTGGTGACCCTCTCTGGACTTGAAAAGTCCTTTCTTACAAAGTCACCCAAGACTCACCTGGGTTCCCACTCCTGAGCCCTGGGCAAGGCCATTGCTCTCCAGCACCCGCACCCTGCAAACCAGCCCGCCCACCACCGCCAGGGCCGACTAATGGGGTCTGCCGCAGGGACCACCCGTGGGTCTGGGCAGCAAGGCTGCCCTGCCTGCTGGGCCTTAGCTTCTCTGACTCCTCTGTCGCCAGGAGTAGGAGACGCCGGCTCAGCGACGGAGCTTCCTCCAGGAGCTGCCCAGTCGGCCAGCTGTGGGGCTCTGGTGCCCGATTACTGACAGACGGCATCTTCTGCTGACCTAAGCGTACGCTCCCCAGTAGCCCAGGTGCAACCCAAGGTCTCGGCACCCCGCCAGCCCGCACCTGTGTGCTCTGTCACCCACCTGAGCACACTCGCGAGGGGCGTCCTGCCGGTCCCCGTTCCTGGAGAACACTGCTCCCGGGAGACGCATGGCTGCAGCACTGCAGGGGAGGCCGCGGTGTTATCTGCGAGCCGCTTCCTGTTTGAAATAAACCAGCTGTCCTGCAGGAGGGCCTGGACTGTGGGAACCCAGAGCCCCGCCCCACCAAGCTGTGGAGGGGACTAGCAGGAGCCTCCTGGAGATGCCCGCCACCCCGCAGCCCAAACGCCCAGGGCTCTTTTCTGCCTTTCTCTTCCCTTTGTCTTCCTGCTTGTGAATAAGCCCTATCAGAACACTGCACACAGATAGAAACACACATTTTTGTAATGATCTATTTATTTCAAAGTCGGAGTTAGAGAGAGAGAGAAAGATGGAGGAGACAGAGTTCTATCCACTAGTTCACTCCCCAAGTAGCCACATGGCTAGAGCTGGGCCAGCCTGGAGCCAAGAGCTTCTTCCGGGTCTCCCACATAGGTGCAAGGGCCCCAGCACTTTGGCCATCTTCAGCAGCGTCTTGGCCTCTGCCCGCTACTACCTGCTACAGGCCAGTGTCCCCGCCCCTGGTGTGAGACCTGCGGTGTCCCCGGGATGTTGCCCAGCGTGGGTTGGGACTGCAGGGGTTGCGACCTCAGCTGGGTTGTTCAGACGCTGCTGACTCTCTACCATACTCAGCGCCCGACCACATGGAGCGGCCCAGCCCCACTGTCAGCCACACTGAGCCTGAGAAACCACCGTCAGGTCCCAGATGCCAAAGGCCACCCCACTGCTCTCAGCAGGAAGACGCCGTCAGAGGCACGGGCGGGCAGCCTCTTGCCAAGGCACAAACACGCACAACACAGGGACATGAGCCCTCGTGGGCCGCACAGCAGAGCCAGCACTGGCATGCAGGCGGGGAGCAGAGAGTGCAGGGGCTGGGGAGCTGGGCACAGCCACACACATCGCCAGGCGGCAGCTGCCTGCACATGCACCAGAAGGGACCCTTCTCAACCCCCGGTGAAGGCGAGGGCCCCCTCAGCACAGGGCCCTAGGTCCAGGTTAGCAAGGAAGGCGGGACCTCATTCAGGCCAGGCTGCCAGGCGGCAGGGACAGACCCACAGCTCCCGGAGCCCAGCCCAGACCCGCCCGGGACACAGCCCTCCTTCTGTCTCACGGTGGGTGCAGGGCAGCTCGCGTTTGTTTGTGTTCCTGAAATTCCTAAGAAGCGCCAGCAAGCGAGCATTACTGGGTGCAGCGCTGACGTGACGATCTGAGCCAGAGGTTTCCAGTCTGCAAACACCTGCCCACAGGGCCAGGAGCAGCACACATCGCAGGAAGCACGCCTTCCTTCTCCCTTCTTTCTCTCTTAAACGCACTGAAGTCCTGGCCATGCCTCGTGAACTCTGACCCTCAGAGAGTGGCTCCAGCAGGCCAGGCCCAGACTCTCGGCCTGCCTGCCAGTGGCTGTTTACATTTCTGAGATAACGAGCAATGTGGGGATCAAGAGCCGGATGAGAACCCGGGTCACGTGGGTGGTGGCTGCATCTCTGGACACTCTGTCCGTGAGGACGTTGCCCATGACCGCCCCCTCCCCAGTTCTGGGGCTCCAAGGACCAGGGTTCCCAGGAAGAGCTGAGCACTTCCACGCCTCCCTGCTGGACTGGACGGGGCTCTCATCCCATCCTCTTCCCGCCCAGCCGGCTCCTCGTGGATCAGGAGCACAGGACAGCACTTGGCGTGCACCACGCACCTACTGACCACAGGAGACACAGGGCCTGTCAGTCACTATCATCAGACTCAAAACTGCCCAAACTTGACCCTGCCCCACAACCACCTGGAAGACTTCCAAAAACAGACTGCTGGGTCCTCCCCTAAGGTTCGGATCCAACCTGTTGGTAGTTCCAAAAGTTTTCATCTTCTGAATTTTTTTATTTTTATTTACTTGACAGGTAGAGTTACAGACAGTGAGAGAGAAAGGTCTTCCATCCGATGGTTCACCCCCAAAATGGCCACAACGGCCGGAGCTATGCCGATCCAAAGCCAGGAGACAGGTGCCTCTTCCTGGTCTCCCATGCAAGCACTTAGGCCATTCTCCACTGCTTTCCCGGGCCACAGCAGAGAGAACTGGATTGGAAGAGGAGCAACTGGGACTAGAACCCGAGGCCCATATGGAATAACAGTGCTGCAGGCAGAGGATTAGCCTAGTGCGTCACGGCGCTGGCCCCCTGAATTTTTTTTTAATTTGAGACAGATAGAGATCTCCCAACCTTTTGACCACTAGCCAAATGCCCACAAAGGCTGGGGCCAGACCAGGCCAGGGCTGAAGCCACGGTCTGGGAACCTGACCCAGGGCTCCCATGCAGGTGGCAGGGACCCAGGTTCTTTATTATTATTATTATTATTATTATTATTAAAGATTTATTTACTTATTTGAAAGTCAGAGTTACAGAGAGGGAGGGAGGGAAGGAGGGAGGGGTGGGTGGAGAGAAGAAGAGAAAGACAGAGACAGACAGACAGACAGAGAATCTGCTACCCGCTGGTTCATTCCCCACCGCCAGGGCTGGGCCAAGCAAAAGCCAAGAGCCAGAAGCTCCTTCCAGGTCTCCCATGTGGGTACAGGAGCCCAAGCACATAGGCCATCCTCAGCTGCTTTTTCCAGGCACATTAGCAGGGAGCTGGAGTGGAAATGGTGCAGCTGGGACTCAAACCGACACCCACATGGGAAGCTGGCATCACGGGTGACGGATTCACCCGCTATGCCATGATGCTGGCTCCAGGACCCAACTTCTCATCGCTTGCCTTGTTCCTCTTTTCAGGAAGCTGGAGTCAGGAGCCAGAGCAGGGACTGAAACCCAGGCCCTGGAACGTGGGATGTGAACAGACCAACCCCGGGCTTCAGGGCTAGGCCAAGTGTCCGTCCCCAAGTGTTTACATTTCTAACAAGTTCCCAAGCAAAGTTAAGCTGCTGTCCAGGCACCACCCGAAGACCACTGCCCACCTCGCAGGGCAGCTGTAAGGGTTTGAGTTGATACAGCAAACAGTCTACCCCAGCGTGGCCGCTCCAATCCCCAGCGGCTGAGGCTGGCTTCCTCAATGCCCACCCTCCTGCCTCTGTATGTCTGGAGCCTCAGGGGTCCGTGCACCTGCCTGTACGCACCTGTCCTGCACAGATCTGGAAAGTGAAAACCAAACTAACCCCTGATGGAAGGGAGAGACCCGCTGGACACAGCTCCCACCCTAGGGAAAACAGTTTCACCACCCGGTCAGTGGCCGTGCCGGACCATATAGAACAGTGGGACAAGCACACCACCACGGGAAGGGTGCAGGCAAGTGGCACAGCACGACCTCCCCACTCAGGAGACTGAAATGAACATGGAGGGAAGCCGTCCCAGCTGATGACATCACCCGAGGACGCTGGTCTCCTCCTGCCCTCCCAAATCTGCACACCCAAGGATGACCTAAACATTAGTCAAAGAAACGGACTCTGCGAGCCACGAGCCTTCCCGAGGATCCCAGCGGCGAGAGAAGGAAACGCCACACTGTGCTGCTGTTCCTTCCACGCCTGTCTCACTGGACTCGAGTTCACTGTTGGTTCTTGCACCTGTCTCCAGGGTCTCCACAGGACCTGGCATTCCGAGGACGCGGTCCCAGCCTGCCTCTTCACAACCCAGTGAGAACCAGAACACACTCTCATCTTCCTCAGCCAGTGCTGTGTCAGATCAGGGCTGCACCCGACAGCAGAGACGGCGGCTGGGGTCCGAGCAGCCAGCAGGTGATGTCAGTGCTCACCCACGCTTACCAGTACTGATCACCAAACACAGCAAAAGCGAGGAACGAAGGAAGACTCCAGCCAGAGGCTTTGCCAGAACCCGGAGCCGTGGTGCAGCGAGTCAAGCCACTGCTTGTGACGCAGGTGCCATGCAGGCATCCCACTTCAGAGCGTCGGTTCCAGACCCGGCTGCTGCACTTCTGATCCAGTTCCTGCTAAGGCATCTCGGAAGGCAGCAGAGGACGGCCAAGTGCTGGCCCTGCCACGTATGCGGGACACCGGACTCTGAGTTCCTGGCTGCTGGCTTTGACTTGGCTCAACGTGGCTGCCGCAGCCATTTGGGGAGTAAACCAGTGGGTGGAAGAGCTTTCTCTTCGTCTCTCCCCTTCTCCCTTCATCACTCTGCCTTTCAAATAAAGCTTTAAAAAAGAAAAAAATTAACCCCTTGGGACAGGCACTGTGGCACTGCTACCCAGCTACCCCATGCTTCTAATACAGCTCCCTGCTGATGGCCCGGGAAGCAGCAGGTGATGGCTCAAGAACTTGGGCCCCTGCACCCACCTGGGAGACCCAGATGGAGCTCCTGGTTCCTGGCTTTGGTCTGGCCCAGCCCCAGCTGTTGCATTTAGAGTGAACCAGTCGATGGAAGATCTGTCTCTCTCCCCCTCTGTTACCCTTTCAAACAAAATAAATCTTTTAAAAAAAATACACATAAAAAAAGTAACTGCTCTTCTGAAATATACCCAGTAACCTACTGCCTGTGCTGTCCCAAGGTGGGCCTGATCTAAGACCCTCAGCCCAGAGCCAGAGGAGCTGCCGGCATCTCACAGAACCATCCGAACTTATCTCACTCAGTGGCCTCCTGCAATGGAGAGGGCACGGAGGCCCAGAGAGGCTGAGAGACTCGGGAAAGCCACACGGCATGAAATGGAAAAAGCGACCAAGACAACCAGGAATCAAGTCTGCAACTTCCTGCTTGGTCCCACCCTCGATGTGGAGCATGCAGCCATGGCTCCGGGCCCGGCCACTCTAAGAGAATTCCCGGGCATTGTCAGTCGGGGTCCTCACTCCTCCCTCACAAACCCTACAACAGGGATGGGAAAGCGCGTTCATTCAGATTTCTACCAAGGCCCGGATACTCTGCCAGGCCCTGGTCAGGGGCTGAGAACTGGTCAGTACTCACTGAGCCTTCAGATTTTATCATTTAAGTGAACACTTTCAGGACTGGAGAGATCACCACACACGGTCCAGGCAAACACTACTCCACAGATGAGAAGAATCCTAGAAACAAGGCAACTCGGCTCCAGGCCACGACCCAGATCCAGGGCGATTCTGGGTGCGCCATGTGAACCCTGAACAAAGCTTCTAGGCAAAGACTGAAGCCAGCACTGCCTTCAGAGCCCGAGTGATGGGTGGAGTGGGAGTCTGACCTAGTGGGTAAGGCACCCACTGGGACACTTGCACACATACTGGAGTACCTGGGCTCAAGCCCCAGCTTCCCTGGGAGGCAGCAGCTGATGGCTCAAGTACTTGGCTCCTTACCACCTACGTGGAGATGCAGAGTTCCAGTCTCCTGGCTTTGGCCTGGCCCAACTCTGAATGTTGTGAATTTGCTATACAAACCAGCAGATGGGAGCTCCCTGTCTCCAATAAACAAGTATGTTTTCAAAAGTTCCCCATCAAAACATCTCAGGTAATATGCACTTGCAAAATGTTCAACACAACTAGGAATAAAGTTAGAACTCTATATCCAGGTCTCCCACATGGGAGTGCAGGGGCCCAAGCACTTGGGCCATCATGTGCTGCTCTCCCAGGAGCTTAAGCAGCCAGGACGAAACTGGTGCGGTCTGGGACGTGGGCATCGCGGCCAGTGGCTTACAGCACTCCCCCACACACAGCTGTCCTACTTTCAAGGAGACGGCTAAGTACAGACAAGGAACAGCACACCAAGTGAATGGCAGCCTCATTTAAACAAGTGCCAAAGAACCCAGATTTTACCCTTCAGAGTCTTGAGTGAAAGTGTAATTGCCAACAGCGCATTCCACCAAGTTCATTATAATCATCCCCCACTGCTGCTGCTGCTGCTGCTAATGGTGATGATGATCAAGGGGACAACCTAACATGGTGAGAACCCTTAGTGACCAGGTCCATCTCCAATCACTGAAACCTTTCATTACATCATGGTTGTATTACTGTTAGGAATTTCAATAAAAATCAAGTCTAATACTTATTTTAACTATGCATCTCAGTGCCTCAAAATCTAATGTCGTACTTAGAACCCCTGGGCCCCGTACCCATGTGGGAGACCTGGAAGAAGCTCCTGGCTTTGGTCTGGCTGACAAGTTGGCTGTTGCAGTCATTTGGTGAATGAACCAGCAGATAAGATCTCTTGTTCTCCCTCTCTTTGTAATTCAAACTTTCAAATAAATAAGTAAATCTTAAAAAAAAATTAGGGGTCAGTGCTTGGTGCTGCAGGTCAAGCTTGTTTGCAGTGCTGGCATCCCATATGGGCACTGGTTTTAGTCCCAACACTCCACTTCAATCCAGCTCCCTGTGTATCTCCCTCTGTAATTCTGATTTTCAAATAAGTAAATCAATCTTTAAAAATAAATTTAAAAACTAAAAAAGATCGCTTAGGATGCTGGCTCCCCATATCACAGTGCTTGGAGTCCTTGCTCCACTTCCAACTTACGCTGAAGTGCACCCTGGGAAGGCAGCAGGTGATTGATGGCCACCCACATGGAGCTCCTAGCCCCTGGCTTGGCCTGGCCTAACCCTGGCTATTGAGGGCATTTGGGAAGTGAACCAGCAGATTGAACATCTTTCAAATAAATATTTTTAAAAATTTAAAAATATCTAAGATGCAAATGGACGAAATATTAGCTTCAGTTTTGCTTCCTTTCCAGAAATTGTACCCAAAGTTTTTATTGAAAATTACCAACTTCCATTTTTCTTGGTATTC